ACACCGATACGAGCTTGGAATTGAAACATGCTTGGGGCAGAGCGTTGAGCTTGACGTCTCCTTCGCACGAGGCGCAGCCAAGCCGACGTACCGAGTTTTGATCTTGAAAAGTACATGTGGGGCCACAAGAAACAGCGAAACGATTGCGTGCAAGTACACCGATACGAGCTTGGAATNNGAATTGAAACATGCTTGGGGCAGAGCATTGAGCTTGACGTCTCCTTCGCACAAGGCGCAACCAAGCCGACGTACCGAGTTTTGATCTTGAAAAGTACATGTGGGGCCACAAGAAACAGCGAAACTCCTACACAAGTCCACCGATACCGAGCTTAGATCTTGAAACGTAGATGCGGCAGCAACGAAAGAGTGAAGGACTCACGTACCGAGCGTTGATCTTTAAATCTTCTTCGCACGAGGCACAGCCAAGCGGACGTACCGAGTTTTAATCTTAAAGCACAGCATTACATGAGTACAGTGGTACATGTGGGGCAGCAACACGCAAGCAGCGTTTCACGTAGCGACTCGTGTTATTCTTCGAACCCAGCAGAAAGCAGCAATCAGCGAAACTTTCTGCTTGCAAGGAACGAGAAGTGAACGGGACCTCTCGCCCGTACCTTTTCGATTCTGGTGCATGCCACGGAAATCTCCGACCGCGGCGCAACACCTCCAGAGATTGTTCTTCAGACCCACGTCTTTTGGCGGAGCATCTTGGTGGGAAGCTTTTCGGCGGTAGATGTGCGTTTAGACACACAGTCATGGCCTTCATGGCAGTAACAAATGTCTTTGTCAGCCAAGTATTTTTTGACGACCACGTACTTGTAGCCTTTATGGCACCAAGCATGCCGTCAGCCTTCATCAAAATACGAAGAGAGCACCCAGTTTTGAGTTGGATCATGGCTCGAGTGCAAGGAATAACATACTCCACCCGCCGCATATCGCTGGGAAGGCTTGCAGTCCAAACGACACTAACCAGCACAGACCTGACCAGTAGTCGACAGCTCATGTGTCACGCCTGCCGGGTTTCCTTGCCCAGTGAGAAACATCTGGCGGCAAGCAATTAATTTCTCGTACGTCAGATCACTCAGCATCCTGAAATGATGCTGCAAAGTTTCTCCGGCGTCTCATCTGCGCATGTGTTTCGCTTGGCTTCAAGTGTCCGGGGGACCATCTTGTCCAAGCCGGGAAAGCAAGAGCGCTTGGCCATGCCTGCTCTGTGGCACTTCCAAAGAAAACTTCAACCGCATGTGCTGCATGACTGCATTTTCGGAATGTGCATATTCACGACAAAATGCTGAGACGCCATAGAGTGTCTGAAGGCCATAGGGTGTTTGAAGGTTTGGTCTGCAGTTGTGCATGCCTGCAGCGCTGCAATGCACCACAATATCGCGGTTGAAGAACGATTTGAAACAATCAAGCCCGTGTCCGACAGAAAGCACTCGGCTCAGCAGGCTGCACCGTGCATGCGAGCGGGAGATTACCGGCAGTTGCGGAAGCCTGCAAACTCGAACGTTCATGCATTAAAAGCTGCAATAGCAAGAACTACTTCAGACGTGTATATAACCTGTCGGCATAATTTTTTGCTATCCCAAAAACGACACAGATCCTGTATAGGATTCTTCTGGGAGGGCAGTTTCGATTCATAGGCGTTTAGGGTTATGTCAGCAGTGTCTTTCTTGGTTTCAACCTATTTTGGTCTGATATCCCGGAAACTTAGGGATTCGGGAACCCTCCTACCCTGCAAGGTCCCGCGGGTCATGCTGGCCGCTCTTTAGATCAATGCTCATATATGATCCCATTCAAGCAGTTCAAACAAGGCTCAGGGGTGGAAGGGTTTTGGCAGGAAAGTTCAGGGAAGTTTCAAGTTCTTTTTTCGTCGTGGATATTGCGGCTTAGGGACCCCTCCTACCCTGCGGGGTCCCGCGGGTCATGCTGGCCGATCGCCCTAGACGGGGGGGGGGGCAAAAGCTCAGAGCTTTGTGTTTGTTTTGCCAACGTATTTTGAGCTGATCTTTTTGGGCTTAGGGACCCCCCCCCCTCTTTCCTGCAGAGTCCCGCGGTCATGCTGGCCGCTCGTCCTAGCGCTCGAGAAGGGGGTGGGCGGCGGAAGAAAAAAATGCAACATCCGAAATTGTTGAGGTGGAACGCCTCGAAATTTGACACCAAGATCCACTCAGAATTACATTGCTTTCCTAACCACAACCCCAAGTGGAAAAAACTGCGTTCGACACGGCCTTGGCTTGCGTTGTCGACTGGCACATGGCAACATGAAGCGCTGCCCTCAACTCGAGACTTGACTTGTCTGGACTGGTCACCACTCCCCATGATTTGCATTGCTCGACGAGGTTCGCGACAGAACGTCTAATGATTGGTGCTTCTGTGAGCATTTTTTCATCTCTCACGAGCCAAAATCACTGATCTGGATCAGCCTGTAACGGAGAACGAAATCCGAGGCTTCTCCATGAATTTCCAAGCACTCGCTCAAAACAAAGCTCAGCGTCATCTCAAGCCCACCGCTCCCACTGTAGACGTTCGATTTCGCAAACTGGGCAGGCAAAATCCTCACTTGTGGCGTGGAATCTATGAGAGCTGATGCAACTAAAGGCTGCCCGGTAAAATGCTTCCCCGCTCTTGTTTACTGCGCCACAAGAAGAAGCAGTCCACTTTCCGGAGCCTCTAGATATCGAAACCCCTCTTGGGCGACAATCACGCTGACTTTAGCTAAAGTGCATCCCCGGTTAGACGCGTGACTTCAATTTGATTGGAACGCATCGACTTTCCCTGTCGACAGTACTGAAGGGTCAGATGTGAAACCTGCTACGTAGACGCCCTCGGCCACGTAAGCACAAAAGCGCAAGTTGTTATGTTGCTTAAACAGATGGACCATGATGGACCTTGAGGTGGGAGGAGGGGGGACCAAAGGTGAAGGGGGTGGGGGAGGGGGCACCTTACACAATGTTGCCGGGACCTTGTGGTGAAGGAGCCCGCGAACCCGGCAATGGTACCAAGCCAAAAAGGACGTGCTGGGAAGGTGGTTCAGTTGGTAGGGGGTGCCTCTTCCTACTGCTTCTGCTTCTGCTTCTGCTTCTGCTTCTGCTGCTGCTGCTGCTGCTGCTACTACTACTACTACTACTACTAATTACTACTACTACTTACTACTACTACTACTACTACTACTAAGTACTACTAAGTACTACAAACTACTACTTACTTCTACTTACTTCTACCTCCTACTACTACTACTACTACTCCCAATCCTACTCCAACTAAACTACTCCTCCTCCTCCTTTTACTCCTACTCCTACCTTCCCTACCTCCTACTGCTCCTGCTACTGCTTGGCTACCGCTACTACTCCACCACCACTACTGCTCCTCCCACTCCTACTCCTACTACTCTTGGTCCTACTTCCTCCGAAAGTAGCCCTCCATGACAGGCCCAGTTCGAGCTTGCGGAGCTCCATGCAATAGAATTGTTGCAAGATGCGCGGCCGGTGCTTCCGCCTTGTCGGACTTGAGGGTGAGCAGAGCGAGATCAAACTTGGGACCTCGGATCCGAAAACAAAAAGAGCTCGAAGTGTTGGTCTATGTCTGGAGTTGGAGTTGACCGGGGCTGCAGCATGCGGACACGATGTTGACGTCCCACTTCGCCTGACCTGCTTCCGGAGCAGCATGAGGCATGAAAGAAGAACAGCTCATGCCGGAGGCGTCAGGGGCGCTGGCTGTGAAGTAGCAGCTGGATCTGCACTCGCAAGGCATCATTAATGACCTAGCATGGCGGCTCAGAAACGCCAATCTCCGAAACACGCAGTCCACAAGCTCCAGTGCCACCGTGCCACGTGCTGGTTCGTAGCGATCAGGATGTACGGCTCCGTTTGGACCTCGTCGCGGTACGTCGCAGAAGGGCAAAACAAGCTCAGCTCTAAAAGCCCCCAAGGCCCCAGGGCGGCTGCGATGAAACCGCTTCCAAGGCTTACGAGGCCGTCTCTTGGGTTGAAGGGCCGAAACCTCGGAGCTGCAGAAGCGCGAACAATGCTCAAGCACTACCAGTCGCGGCGCTGGTACCGCCATCTCCAAATCACAACCTGGACCTAGTTTGCTTTGCATTATAATCTTAGTTAGGTGTTTGTGCATGGATACCGCTTGATACCTGCACATAACCTTGTAATGCACACAGACACACACACACACACACCGTGCCAGTCCTGGGGTTGAGCCGGAAGCTCTCAAGCGCCGCACCAGTCGAAGCTTGCTCCGACCGTTTCGATACGCACAATGCCTTGCACAATCGCAAAACACAAGTTTTTCAGCTGCATCCAAACCGACGGTGCATCGTCAAAGTGCAGTAAAGAAACTCCTTTGCAAATGGTCGTAGTCGAAGTCCTCGCGGCAGGGCAGAAGGAGCGGAGAAAGGTTGCGTCTACCCGTCGCCTTTACTCGCGAACGACACTTGAGTGGGAGGGTGCCCTAAGTGCAGATTGTACCAGGCTAGGCGGGTGTGCTGACTCGTCAAAGCAACATCCCGCCAGCGCAACATGCAGCTACATCCAGCTGCTGTCCTGCTTGTCAGAGAATTTCAGCCCCAGCCCTTCAACCAGGAAAAGGAGGAGCAAACTCACGAAGGTCACCTCGCTCTTACCAAGACTCTTATGAGAGATCCTCGGTAGCAACGTCTTCATACAAAACTCTTGGCCAGGTCGCCGCCATGGCGACAAAGTCCAGGCAGTCCAGGCACTCGGACCTGAAGCAACTTCCAAGATGTCAAAGCACTGCGAGCGAGAGCGCAGAGGTCCGAGAGCCTGGCAATCAGCGACTGGGCTCAAGGAGAGCTCACAACTGTTGCGGAAGTACCCGAAAAGGACTGCTTAAAGCCTTCTTGCACACGGCAATTCCGGCTCGGAAGCTCAGGGGCGAGTACAAGTACGGGTACTTCCGGCTCTAGGCAGCCTTTGGCCGCGCTTCAATATGGGCGGAGAACGTAACTTGAGCCGAACAAAACACCGGTACTAAGCAAGATCAGGGCCATGGGATGATGAGCTAGCAACGTCAAGCAGAGAACGGATGCAATAAACCCGAAAGCAGCCCCAAAAGCCAAACCTTGACAGGAGCAAGACATAGCGGCATAGCAGAACAGGGACCCCAGCCATGCCCAGCCGCAGCTCGTAGCGAGCAGATTCGGCCTCCCGGAAGGCCATGCCTCGACCGGCTCGGAGAGTGTAGGACAGTGTAAGGTTTTATTTGACCTGGGCCTATAAACCAAAAGCCCTTACTTGACACCTCGTGCACGAGGCCCTTAGCTCCTCTTTGAGGCCCTCAGCTCCAGGCCCATCCGCTCTTTTCTTGTCCTCGGTCGTGGCACCTGCATTGATGACATCGGCAACCCTGCACCAACTGCAACAACTTGGCATGCCTCTTAAACTACAAGCCTGTCAGCGTCATGCAAAGTGGCCAGCGCCTTCGTTCCATCCTCATTCACGAAAAAGGCAGGTGCTCTTTCATCGGGAGGTGCATCGCTGTCGCTCTCAGCTCCTTTTGCCAAAGCTTCGTCAAACACCAGCAGCAGACAGCGAAACTGTGTGGAAGCACTTCGAAAGCTTGCACCCCGAATTGCTGAGCCTCGCACCAATTTCTGCGAGCATACGTTGCAAACTCTGAACTTTCCTCTGCTTTTTCCTGACCTCCAAGAGTTTGAACAAACAACTGAAACTAACGGATGTTGCGAGATCTCTCACAGGATCTTCTGATTTCAAAACGGGTCTGGGGTGCTGCCACATGCCCGAATACTCCGTGCCTGCTCTTCGGCCTTCCTTTGCCTCATCTCTGCTTTTATCCTCGCCTGGCCGCAGGACGGCAACAACCAGCCGAAGCTGCAGCTCAGTGAATCGCGATACCAACCTGTTGGAAGACATCTGCTTGTTGCTTGGCCTGAATGTCATGCATTGAGCTCAGTCTCTGTGCTATGTGCGGCTTGCACAAGACCTGCACAACAGCAGCCAAGCACTGCCAAGAACCCAGCGTAAGCTTCGGAAGCTTCTGCATCTTCTTGAGCTTTTCGCGCTGTATCGCGCTCTTCCTAGCAAGCACCCCAAGCTGGTACATCATGACGGGAAGCAGTGTCTGGACTAACTTTCACCGACAACTCACGAAGAGGAGCTGAGTATGCATTCTGCAGAGCCAACAAGCAGACTCGAAAATTTCTCAAAGTCAGGGAAAGCGAATTCAAAACGAGGTGACATGCAAGTGCTTCCCGCAGCCTCGGCTACGCGCTTCGCTTCCTGCATGCGAAAAAAGCCAAAGCTCCCGATAAATGCGACAACTCCGTCCGTCTATTGTACGTATCGGCGCTCACTGCACACATCTGTGGGGCTAAAGGGTGCATGCATGTGAGTCAGTACTTCTTCATTGCCGCTGTTCTCGTTGCTGTCACCCGATACTCGCATTCTAGATACTGTCCGTACTGCAACACTACCGATAGTATTGTCGATTATGACTCTATCTCAGCTTATAGGTTTAGTGATTCATGTTGATTTCCGTCCTTGATTTGGCTCGATCCCTTCTGCCTCCTTTTGTTTAGCCGGCCTCGGCTTCCTTCCGCTGCTGGATGGCCTTGTCTCGTTCTTGCCGGGCCTCCCGCGCGTCCTGATGGTCTGCAGCGGGCTTGAGAGTTCAAGGTGTTCATGCGTCGAGGGTTTAGGATGCATGGCTTCAGGCTTTACTTCCACAAGCTTCGCTCGAAAGTGTCGATGCTCACGGCTTGGGCATCACAGCCGGAATGTAAGATGTCTTGTGTGTGAATGCTCAAGGGAGGTCTGACAATTCGGAAACCGCATCAAATTGGTTCTGAAACGTCAACGCTACACATCCAGGGCTTGGAAGAAGAACTAGGTCCTGAGGCAGCTGTAAAACGTAAAACAGAAACCACCATCTACTCTACTGCTGCTGCAACCTACAAGTCGCATCGGACGTACTGTAGAGTTCTCAATGCTGGGGGCTGCATCTGAATTTCTAACTACGGTTGCTCTACGATCCTTGTTAAAATTTCCGGCTATTGAATCTACTGTTGCACTAGATATAGTTTACGAAGACATCCTGATTTCGAGCTGCCCTCCAGACACAGACAAGCCATCAAAGCGAGTGCACAGGCTCCCGCTGCGCCAGCTTGGCTGTGCGCTCTGCTTCCGCCTGCAGTTGTCGGGCCTCCTCGATGCCTGGCAGGTTCTTTTTCGATGAAAGCCTCTGGGGAACAAGTGTAAAGCGCGGCCCTGATGAGGCTGGAGCTGACCAAGAGCTCTCTGCTCGGAGTTTTCGAATCCGAATACAGGTCTCAATAGACTTCCCATCGTGGCTGGGCGCGCGTAACTGCAGACAAGAGAGCAATTAAGCTCCGGTACCCGACGTAATGAAGAACGATGTTCAAGCAATCGCCCCTGCGACATAAAGTCCCTGCTGGGGTTGGTTTGGAGGCTCAGACCGAAATGCCTTAACTGCCTCAGAAAGTCGATTCACATATCCAGCTGAGCTTCAGAAGAAAAAGAATCGCTCAAGCCCACCACGTTGGGACTGAACCAGATTTTCATGCGCGGCAAAAGGCTCGTGTGAAAGCTTCCAGGCACCCTAAATACCATGTACTGAACCCACATCCCACATCATTCCGGTCTCTCTTTTTTCACCCCTGTCGCCTTCTTCAAGACCCTGACAAGTGTCAGGCAAATCTCAACTGCAAAGCTAGAAGAGATTCCAGGCCCGCTGACAGCAGGCTATCCCACGACTGTGACCGGATCACATCATTGGGCTTGCATGTATACTGACTATGGCTAATGGGCATGCTCGTGACTGTAACTCTTGCGCTAATTGTAAGAAGGATGGTGCTCATGTTGAAGACGAGGATGAGGACGACAAGGATGATGAGAAGGATGATGCTGAAGATGATGGTGGTTGTAATAAGTTTGGAATCGGTGACGGTCCGATGCTGGTCCTGAGCTGGTGATGATGGCTGGATGCTGATACTTGCGACCATGCAGTGGCAATGCTGACGCCGAAGAGTATCATGCTGTTGGCAACGACTGAGCGTCTTGGTCAGAAGTGCTGGCGAAGATTGCGATGATTGCAGACTGTGCATAACATTAAACGCACAGTGTCTCAAGCCAAGGCGTCCGAACCAGACGTTGCGAATCGAAATAGAATAAGATGATGACTATCATGCCGACTCAGCGCATTTTCAGAAAGCGGTTGCTGTTTAGCCTGTGCATCTTGACGTCCAAGGGCTAGCTCTGTCCACGAATGACCTTGGAGGCTTTGGCAAGGTTTGTGCCCCTTACATTCCAATGTCGTGACAAGCACATACTAGTATGTGGCGTAGATGAACAGGAGGAGGAGTTGACACGACTTGGTCAGCCTATGCCATTATGCTGAAACGATTGGTGACGCTAAAAGCCTAGTATCTATGTCTAGCGCGAATACTCCCACATTAGAATCACAATGATCACCATGCTAGTCGTCGAAGGTGTCGAGTCTTACTGCAGCACGTTTAGTAATGTCCTACACAAACGTAAAGTCACATGATGTTCGAGGCAGTTCACCTGCACCGTCAAGTGATACCGAAGCACGCCGGCGCCGTGCAAGGTTAGACCGCTGCTAACCTGGAGGTTGCGCGCCTCTGCCGCGCATGAAACCTATAGACAAGCTTGGCCATCAGCGAAAAATGAAACTTAGTTCAGTGTTGATCTCGGTCTCGACACGTACGTGTTAAAAGGAAACTGTTGACTTGAAAGAACCGACCCTTCGGAACTTCGGAGCCAAATGTGAAGGAATCCACATTGCTACATCCGATTTCCTCTGGAACTCCCAAGACAAGGGAGATCAAGGGGGCGCTACTCTTTTGTTTCTGCCGATTGCACGATCCCAACCATGATCTGCACTTTACACAGTCGGGAACCATACCGACAGCGACTAACCATCCAGGACAATATTAGTGTTCATTCATTTTTTCGGTTTAAGACCTTTTGTTTGCTGCAACGTTGGACTTCTTTTACCTGAGACCTAGTCCTTCCGTTCCACATGCTTTACGACCACGAGCACCAGATGAATAGCAACATAGTAACTGCACGTAACTGCACGTATCTATGCCTGCCCTCCAGTCAACAGTCTCCCTGAATCGTGCGGAGCCACATTTCGTCAACCCAATGCAGCGATTACAGAACACTTCGGCATTGTCTGCAAGAACTTTTCGAGATGACCACGCGGGAGCACGTGGCAGCTACGTTGCTGCGGGACACATCTCACTTGAGTCCCCAGGTGCATCAGCCCCCGAAAATCAACATCCTGGCCCCGACTCAATTCTCTCGAGCACTTAGCATGGCATGTGTGAGAGCTAACACTTCGCATTGGCGGAGTCGCGTTCACATTTTTTGCAAACGCTCGCTGCCGCTCCCTGCCTAGTTGACAAATGCCACTGCTCCCGCATTTAGCACGTGCGAAAACGGTGGGCTGGAAAAGATCTGGCGAATCAAGGCAACTCGATCTGCCCACCTCACTCCTGCTTCATCTCCACCTGACGGGTTGGTTCTATCGAAGCAACTCACCCCCTCTCTGATTCGCTTCGAGTGGACAGACCTTCTTTCTGCGCCAGCTCGAGCAGCTGCAGGAGCTCGGCGATTGGGGCGCCCTCGGCTCTTCCGGTCAGCAGCAGGCGCAGCGGGCGGTGGAGGCGGGGTCCTCTCCAGCGCTGCTGAACTCATGACGGTCATGACGTAGCCGATGGATTCGAGTTCGCGCACCAAACCGGACCTATCTTAGCAGCTGAATGCTTGGCGCGACTCGGCCTCTGCGGCCCTGCCCGCGCAGCTCTGCTAGGAGTGCGGGGAGCTTCTCACTCATAGGACCCGGCTCCTGCCACACGGGGGAGAGAGCGGACTTCAGATGATTTCAGGTGCTCTACGAAGAGTGAAGGCAAGCTTCTTCGTGCAGGCAAGACCTACAGAATCTTGCATTGTTGGTTTATTTGCTGACAGTGCGGCAGCAAGCACATGCCACAAGCAGACCCATGCAGATGCACCTCGGCGTAAGCCAGCAAGGTGGGCACGACCTGCGTGCGATGCAGAACATATAGACTCAGGAAAGATAGGGGGTCTTGGTTTCAAGCCTCAAGGGTGTCCTCCACCAGCTCAGTGATCCTGGGATAACCTGAGAATGTTGTGTCAACGTCGGAACGTAAGCCGGGCACATACCCCGAGCAGGTGAAAGCATGCATCGACCCCGCCAGACTCAGACTTCCCTCGCCGGACATCACACTTTGCCATGTCGCCCGGGGTCTTTGCCGCCGCGATGGCGTCTTCCAGGTCGAAGACCAAGGCCTCCGAAGACAGCAATGACGGCGTTGTCGTTTCGATGAGAGTGATTCTGCAGCTATCCCGTGCCTCACGCAGCATGGACAAAGACTCCCGGACGGATCGGCAGCCCCGAGCCAGGCAGAAGCGGACACACTCCTGACAAGGACTGGAAGCAGTAGTGGCCGCTGCACAGCGGCTGCCCCTGACTGTGTTGACGATGGTGGTGCAGTGATGATGCCGACATGGCAATGAATTGCTGCTACTGACGACGACGCGCACGAGCAGAAGGAGGATGTACAGGACAATGGGAGGAGCAGGAGGAGGAGTGGAATGAAGCGTATGAGGGAGGACAAGAGCATAATAATGGAGGCGGAGGAGGGGGCTGTGAATGCAGCAGCGCACGCGATATTCAGCCGCAGACTCGACACTGCCAGCCTGACTGAAGGCATCCTCCGGGTGGACAACGATTCCATCCTGGCTTCTGTCAGCCATCGCCGGCTTTGCTCTAATTACCCTGGTGCTTCTTCCTGTCTTGTTTGGCACCATGCAGCAGTGATGACAATCGCTCTCCTCCACCAGCCAGCGTGGCAGTGATTCTGCCAACTCCACACCTAAGCGAATTTTTCAACAACTTCCACCGCGGAAGAAGCACGGAGAGAGTAGAGGGCGCACCACGAAGGACAGTGTGGGAATAGGTGGCTGGGTGATGGGCTCGTGCAGATGTGGTCTGGGCCAGAAGAATCGTCGAGAAAGGCAGGTCCCAGATAGATTGAATAGGAAGTGATGAGAAAGCCACCTCAGACACACTCATCGTTTACCAACTGCCAACTGCCAGGTCCTCGCCTTCTGCAGCCTGGACACTGTCCTCTACCAAGTCATCTGTGGCTGAGCCCGAGCTACCCGCACGACAGAGAACGTGACGGTAGCGCTCGCCGTCATGCGTCGTCTCTTTCGTGTATCCCTCGTTGTAGGCATAAGCATTGGTCCAAGGAACCCAGCCATTCTGCCGCGCAAAGTTCGGCGTTGAAGTCTCGAAGTATGCTGCTGTACCAGTTGCGAGCTGCCATTCCGGAGAGGTGCCGATGAAGAACCCACCCTGGTCTTTGACGAGCTTGTAGCCAGAATAATCCCACACAAACTTCCCAGAAACGAACCTCAGTCCAAGATCGGAAGACAATTGCACTCATGGCTACTCCTGGCGAAGATTGGTTGAGCAAGGAGCAGGGCTGAAGGACAAGGGGCCGACTATTCATCAGACCCGCTTCAGCATTGTTGTAGATATATCCCAGGTATCGTGCTGTGCCCCTGACCTTTCCAGGCTCCAGGGCTCAGGCTGATGATGCTTGGGTTTGGACAAACCGGACCTCTTCAAGGTAGAACTTAAGCCAACAGTGGAAGCCACCCGCTACAGGTTGACCAGAGATGTCCTCGGTCAAATTACCTCAGCCACACGATTGCTGCACAGTTTTCCTCGAAGCCACCGTGTTGGATGCAAACTGTGACCACCTATCATTGTGCTTGTCATCTGCTCGCACGCCACTGGGCTGATCGTTATTCAACGGTATACTGACTGCACAGAACCCCAAGAAGCAGGAGAAGCCTTGGGCCCCCAGTTGCGAAAAAGCTGCCAAGGAAAACATGCTCGAATACGCAAGGCTTGCCATCCCTTCGTTGAAACCATAGCTTGAACAAGACTTCCTGCACATCCAGTGCCACATTCTACAGAAGCACGTTACGGCTCGCTCGTGCCTCTGTAGGAATGCCTTGCACAAATCCAGATGAACACAGTGTCCTTCCACGGCCGCGTCAGCAACACAGGCAGTGTTTTCGTGATGTGCCGGAATGCACGACCTTAGCCGATGTGAGTGTCAGATCTTGAATAGTAGGCATGAAGCCTTGCAGGATGTCTCCAGCAGGGTATGACAAACAGGACTGCCTGAATTCCATGTCCCTTTTACGAGTGTGCTATGACGCCAAGTCTCGCATAACTGATGTCCGCGTCACTTGCTCCAGAAAGTCATCAATCGCAGCAAACTCTGTTGGGCTGTAGGGACCTAGGTCCAAGCGGCACATTCCCTTGATTTTCCACACATCCCTTGCAGCAAACCAAAGCTTGGCACATCCAAGCGCCCAAGCCTCTGAGCTCTGCACCGCATGTGCTTGACTCGCCCTCAGATGGCTGGAAAACCTTGGATGTGCAGCTACCAGAAGCAGACAGTCTTGTGTGTAGCGCGCTTATGTCTTGCATCACTGGTGTGGATTGGCAGAGCTGAGTTTCAAAATTTCTTTACTCCCAATCTTACCGAATCCTGGCATTGCTTCTAGCGGCATCAAACACGCGCACCAAAGCAAGAAAAGTTGGCCGCGCCAAGATCTCTGGGGCGACATGCGCAAATAGAGGACGCTTGGCGCACCTTGGACTAATCCAGGAGACTCTAGGAGCATACTCATGTCCATGCACTCCTGATGTCACGTCCACTTCCCTTTTGCTCTCGCATGGCATGTCATCTGTTCACGCGCAATGCAATGCCTCCGAATTGCTCCATGCTGTCGGATTGTTACGATTCGGCCGGGCGTCTCGGCCAAGGTCGTGCGCAGTGCAGCCACCTGCTCGTCCAGAAGGATGTCCTTATCTGAAACTTGATCTCAACTCGTCTGCCGTGACTATCATGTAGTGGAGCTCTGCACCCTTCGCTCCTTGCTTCGTCTTCGTGCTTTCGTGATTCAACTCTCGCGAGCACACATCAAGCTGACTCCATATCAGAGTCTTTCTGCTACGAAGCTCCAGCATTATTTAAGGAAACATAGAAGGTCACCGCATGAGGCGGCATCTTTCTATTAGGAGAGTATCGCCTTGCCTGCTCCTACCGCGAGTGTTCATCCTGCGTGCAATTTTCGATGTTCCTGTCTGTCCATCCTGCCTCAGCCGCGGCGGAGAGCAAGGGACGGGTTGTTGTCGTTGCTGCTTGCACCCTTGGTTTTGTGCCGGCATAAATAGGTGCATAATGGTGCATATGCTTTGTCTGTTTCGTGGTACCGCCGTGGGAGAGCACCCGTGACTGGCTGTCCGCGCACGTGGCATTTTCTGACATCTTCGATGTTTGTTGTAGCGCCTTCATCTGCGCACTGAGGCATCACGACCAAGGCTCTTCTGGTGGAATAAACCTCCATGATCGTTCATGGCAATAGAAGTTGCCAAGTATTGGTAGTGGCATTGAGATGGCTCACCGTTTACACTTCGCAATTGAGACAGCTGCGTGGAAGACGCCATGATGAGATCACAGATAATCAGTAATTGAGGGGTACTTGCACTCGTTGCGAGCAAGAAAGGAAAAGACGAATTGGGCTAGTCAAGCTGCTGCATCAGCATTGACCCATGGCCGGCGACCACCCTCTCCGGGACGCCTTGTCATGGGCAACTTCAAGTATTGCCTTGTGCAATCCTGATTATGAGTTCCCGGTGTCCACTCCCGCCTGGCGCTGACTATACATCGACCTTCGTCCAGGGCCCAGAGCTCGCTGAGGATGTTGACTTTGCCAACCTGCTTCGCTGGCCAGTCGCGCGCTTCTGCAGTCAAAGTCTATAAAGTCCATCTACACGGAGTCCCTGCGCAACAGAGAGACTCTGTGGCATGCGGAACATGCGTGACAAGCCAAAGGAACTACCTGAGAAACATGGCAATGATGTCAGCCTCAGCTTGCGCTGGTTCCTTCGCCTGCCGACAAGCATGCAATGGAACGGTGCAACGCATCGCACTTCCTCGAAACATGAACTCCTTGGATCTCCTTGGCTACAGCTCTGTCTGACCACTGGCATTCTCCCGGGATTTGGCCCGAGCAGTCTGTCCGGTCAGACCCAATTTCTATATCATGGTGCTGCGCGCGCAGAGCTGCACAGAAACACAGCAAGCAGCTCAGACCCGATACATCCATCCACCAGACTTGCTTTTGGCCCGATTCTTCTATGGCCAGGCAACATGTCTTGCCGCGAATGTTTCCAGCATGTGGACAGAAAAATGCCCAACTAGCGATGAAAGACCCTAGACTCGAATCACTCCCCCTTTTTAGCAGCGGAAATTCTTCGAGTGGGCAATCCCTTGATCCGACTCGCTGTCTGACTCTGCCTCCCTGCGCGCCTGCAGTCGCAAGGCGAAGTCGTAGAGTGCGCTGCTTAGCTGAGAACTCGACATTGCGGCACGGCGCAAGACGCCTCGGCTTTACAATGCAAACCAGCAGGGCGGCAGCAGCATCCATCAACTGTTAGACTTCTTGCTGGCTGCGTCACCGAAGAGAATCTCTCTGGTGGCCCCCTGCGGGAACTGCTCGCGGATGGCCTGCGCAGAGTTTCTGTTGTGCACAATGTGGCAGCTCTGTGCTGCGGTCGCTTTGATACCAGTTTTGATACCCGCATGCAGCCGCATGCATGCATGGGTGGGTGGGTGGGCGTGCGTGTGAGAGCGAGAGAGGACAGACAGAAAGAGAGAGAGAGCGAGAGAGAAAAAACAAAAAGCGAAAAGCGAGCGAGAGCGATAGCGACAGCGAGAAAGAGAGTGTACTGTACGTAAGCGTGTGATACTGTGTGCAGGCACATGTGTATGTATACCATAATATATATATATATACTTCAGAGACATTTTGTCAATCTATTGCTAGTCTGGCATGGCACCGCTTAAGCTGGCCATCCAAGCTGCATCAAGGCTGCGCAGCATCGCCATCTCCTGGGACCGCTGTATACCTTGCAGGAGATGCAAAATGTCGCAAAGCTGTTCCTTTGGGGTGAACCTGCCTGTGTAGATCTCGGCAAACCGGCCGGTCTCCTGGGACATTCTGAAAACAAGCACCCAAGCCATGTAAGGGATTGCGTCTTTGATCTCGGAATCTGGTTGGCACTTCTATCCACCACTTTCGTTGGCCTCCACATCAGAGACTGTGAGCAGCTAGCCTTGGTCATGCCTTGGTCCCCTGCTGCCCTGAAATGTTAAATTTTGGTAACACGACTCGAGCTCAGGACCTTTAAGGCCGACGGGGAACTTCCAGAGGCAGTAGAATGCGGTCTTGCTTTCAACTGACCCAGTTTGTTTGACGAAAGTGTGACCAGTAAAGCTGCCCAACTGTTCATGCCGTCCGCGCGGTTTGCAAGTGGCAGTCCGGTGCTGCCGAGATTCAGAAACATATCAAAGTGACCACTCAGTCTTGCATGGTCGGCATCATCTTTCTTGCAACTCGAATATGGGCTAGTACTTCCTTCGACTGCAGCTGTTTCCTCAACCTCGAACCCTAACCCCTGCTTCCCACCCGCCTTGAATCTTGCTGTGGATTCGGCCTTGCTGACAGCGGCTTGCTTATACACACATGCAGTACTGAGTACTGGGAGAACTGTAGGGGGCGAGGGTGGTAGTGTATGTGGAGCCCTCACCAAACAAGCGGTATTCATGTAACCAGCTGTAAGATCTAGTAGTGATAATGACAAAAGGATCAGCATGAACATAAGAGCCACCATCCGATGGTGATGTGATGATGACGATGATGATAACGATGACGATGATGAGGATGATGATGACGCGATGATGATTATCCTAATGGTGATCGTGATGGTGGGGATATTCAGAATTATACATCCGGAGTGTTCCAACCCCAGAAACCTAAATGGAAAATTCCACTGTTGAGCATCCTCGGCTCCATTTGCCTGACCCCTGCCCATACCCGTAACATCATTAAGCAAACCGGAAATGTTTAATTAATGAAAACGTCGGTGTAGACCCCCCCAAGACTCTATTTAACAACAGTTTGGGATAGTTAGACTACATTGCTGCAGTCAACACAATGGTTTTGCGTATCTGCGCAGGTACGCATCTACCTATGCATGTTGTTCCATGCAGGAATAAGGCATATATATATATATGCATATACATGCAGACACATAGATATATATATATGTGTATATATATATGCATATATGTGTATACTAATAAGTATATATATATATGTATGTATACCATATATAAGGCCCAAGTGACCCAGCAGCGGGTATCTTGAAGGCCCCATGTACTGCATGCAACGGCCGCTCTGCAGAAGGTGGTACGCCCGTGAGCTCTAGCAAGATGGAGGGCAATGCGTCTGGCAAGAACGTCGCCTACGCTGCAGGACAATCAGGCCTACATCACACGCTTCGTCAACATGGACTGCTTTTCGCCGGACAAGAACTTCGCCTTCATGACATGCTCTGGCAGTGTACTGTGCTCCATAAACATGTGGGCGGGCAACTTCGGTGATGACGTTCATCTTCATATCTTGAAGCACTTGTGGCCACAGGGATGGCGCCTGACGAGTAGCATTGTCTACCAACCTGTGAGGCTGTGTCTGCCCCTGCAAGAGGTACCGGAGAGCCTGGTCGCCACACTACCGGAAGACACTTCTGCCCTGACCTCACTGTTATGGCGCAAGTTGAGGGCCGCCACCGGAATTGGCAGCATCTGGCGGCCCTGCAATGCCGCCATGTTGAAGCCGGGCCGGCCCTTGTGGCGACGGGAAGGCTAGCCCGACGTGGAGCCGTGGTCAACGACCCAAGTGCGTTGGACTCGTCGTCGCAAGACAACAATGTTGAGTGAGCGCTGTCCCTGATTGATATCGCAGTGTGGAGCTTGAATTACCGCACTGCTCTTTGGTGGTAAACACTGACGCTTTCGCCGTTATGGTGCGGATTTCCTTTCCCCTCATCTCGCATACACTATTCACTGTGCGGGACCGGACGGGGCTTGGTAGTGTAGTTTGTTTGGTGCTTTGATCGCCGACTAATTACGGAAAACAAAGCATCTCTTTTTCCGAGTCTAAATCTTTGCATTGTAAAGTCCTGCGCTGTGGAAGCCAATCGCCACGGCGCCTCATGCTTGCCACACCGCGCGCAAGAGCCCAATGTCCTAGCTTGCATGATGCCTGAGGGGTAGCACTATGGTATGTGTTTTCCCCTTCGCCGTCGTTTACGAGGAAGCGCGGAGTCACAATGACCACGCTGAGCGAAGTAGTTAGCTTGATTTTGTGGCAGAAGGTGGTTTAACCGCTTACGGTTTTTACGTGCTGCTGTGCAGCTGGCCGGGTCTCCGGCGGTTTGCCTTCCCTGCCCAAACCCTGACGTGCCAGATTTCTCAGCTTGTGTCTGACATCGGCTAGTGCGTACCGGCAGTCAGAGGTTTCGTTTGCAATTTAATTAGGCCGCGAACTCCTCTGAATGCTTGGAAATGGAAAATATGCATATATACATGCATATACATATCTATCTATCTATCTATCTATCTACCTATCTATCTATATAAATATATATATTTTTTATTTGTTTATTTATTTATTTATTGAGTTATTCATTTAGTTAGTTAGTTAGTTAGTTAGTTAGTTGGTTAGTTAGTTAGTTAGTTAGTTACATATTTATATATTAATATATATATATATATTTACATATGTATTTTTTATTCAATTTACTCGTGTGCATGTGTATCACATGCTGCTTTCCCGCTCTTCCAGCACTATGTACGTGGATCGCATCCTTCAGCTCAGCTCGGTTTCTCTAAACTCGAATTCTTGGGTCGGCTGACACTAGACAGGTAGATCACGGTAGATCCTTGACAGACCTGCACAACACGAAGCTGATTCAGGTGAACGGCGGCATCATCTCGCACATTGCTGAAGATGTCACGCGCACCCTGCCCACGAGCAGACCACAGAACTGCAAGTGTGAAGCACCACTGGAACGGTTTATATGTGCAGCGCTTGCTAGTTCGAACCACCACAACCAGGCTGGTCTCCGTCCTTTGGGTGCACCAGAACCCTTCACACCCCGTGTTTGTGTCTACCGAAACAGACAAGTTCAAGCTATTAAGGGTGTGGCGTACATCTACAGACAACTCCAATCGCAGCATCTGGGGCGTGTCCAACCTGAAAGAAAAAGTTGGGCATGACGAATCCGCCAGAAGAAGCCAGAGTGTTGCCGTCAAAGTCGTTGCCACGCAGATTCTTCACGAAAATGAACCTGGTCGTGAGCGACTGGAACGGAGCTTCGCTACTGTTACACTACTGTTCTGCTTACACTGGCACACTTGGTGAGCAGGTCTGGGCTAGAAACTGTAGTGCAAGATAAGACTAAGAAAGGCTTCCATATTGGAAGGGCAAGCCGGTGTTGGCCACTAACCTCTAATTGAGACCTCCTTGAAGCCTGCCGTGTCCCTAAATTCGAAGACCGACGGTCCCAATTTCAATTGCAGAGCGGTGTTCCGGTATTCCTACTTGCAACCAACCTCGCCCCAGGCCAAGGCGAGCATCACAAAACATAAGCTCCCCGGGTTGTCAGGGTTGGGTTTGGTGTATCGGGAGCAGGTACGAGTGACGGCGAAAGGCAATTGGTAGCACGGATAGCAGAAATGCTCTTGGTTTGTTGTTCTTGTGGCTTCTGTTGCTACTCGAGATGGCTACTGACGCTGGCCAACCATGCTTGATATGGTCCTTACAACAACCATTGAGCCTGTCTTTCCCCAATGTTCTACTGCTACTCTCTGGCAGGCCGGGCAGCAGAACTGCTGTGATTGTGGAAAGAGTGCCGAAGACACCGACGAGGATGCCAAGGCCAAAGCTGTCCACACCCACCTTTCTGAGGACTTGAAAGGCCACTCAGACGGCATGCCCAAGCGTATTGTGGGGTGGCGGTGCACAACACATTCAACCTTTGGGTCAAAAGCCCGGCCTAAAGCGAGCTTTAATCTCTTTCACCCGTCAGCCCAAAGCTCCGGAGACTCATCGCGATGGACACTTGCACAGTAAAGAGGCTCAACACTGGGGTCAAGCCAGAGCTCCTCGCTGGGCCCCCATCATGGAATATTTTTGTCAAATTTGCAGCACGGCCGCAGAATCCAAGTAGGTGTCAATGGCAGATGGAGCCACAGGTCTCATAACGGAAGGCTCGCGAATCTTTCGCTTGCCCAAGAGCGTGCCTGGCAGACCACAACATTCTACCGTGGCATCATGCATCGCAACTATGTCTGCTGCCCTCGCCTGGTGTGACACCATTCTGAACACGTTTGAACACGCAGGATTGCCGCACAAGACTCCACGCCATGCTTCCCACAACTATGCCGGTCGCAAGCTACGTGCTTTCAGCTTGGACATGCGCTGTTCAGGGCTGCTGCCTGTCGCACTTCCCTTTTGCTACGTTTGCCCAGAAGAAGCCCCTCGACATGCGGCAAGGTTGCATCCACAGAAGCTGCTGCCATAAGGCCTGCAGACTTGCAAACCGCGTGACCCTGATAATCAGTGATAAGTCTTGCCTAGTGCCCTGTGGCAGGCTGGCATCACGCCGGCCCGAGTGTCTCCACGGTATCCACGGTGTCGGCCAATGCACCTCAAATGCCCGAACACTGCTTCGATCGGCTTCCTGTAGATCCTTGCAGGCTTGGCCGTGTTGGGTTCATGTCGCTTCGTCCCAACGTGACATGACATGACATGCAGCTGCAGCTGAGGAGGTCACCAGCACAGCCAAGATGACCAAGAGACGCCCCGGGCGCATGGCGGAGCGAATGTTCTACGGCGGCATAAGTCACAATATACCCGTGTTGTATCGGACCCATGGCTTACAGGCGGCCGCAGCCTCTGCGCGCACACGTACGTCTTGCTATATGCTTTGAGAAGCCGAATGGGATGCTGGAGTCTCAGAGAGGATTTGCAGTACACAACTCACTACAAGTACGATAGATCCTGTTTGTGACCTCTGTCAACCTGGCTTCAGGCTTCCCGAGGGCCATGTTCTGCGAATGTGCTGGAGGTCCACCTTGCTACCGTACGAAGAAATGACTGGTCCATTGCTGCTGCTTGCGTCAACAGCTCGATCTACTCACTGGGAGAGCTGCATGCAGTGGCGCTGTCAAGCCCCTCCCAGGACAAAAACCACACTGACTAGCCACCCCCCTTCGACGCATGCAGTTCCCGTGCCTTGGCTTGCATGCAAGACAAGCAAGCCAGCGGCACGGCGCACTTGCTCTTGGACGAGCTCTTTGGCCTTTTCTTCGTCGCCCAAAGCCTACCAGGTCTCAAGCACTAGTCCTCACCTCCGACGGCTCTTTCACCGAGGCTGCTGCGACTGGCAATGACCGGCAACTGTTGCAATTCGCGCTATTACGGCCCCATGGCACAAGCTTCAACTGAGTCCCAAATGAGATGTCCGGCTAAAAGCATGGATATAAAAGGTCTCAGCTGTCCGTTTGCATGGACCTGCGCCAGCTGTGCATTCATCACCAGGATCTCGTCATCGTGTCTTCGCCGAAGCCTAGGGTCGGTGCAAAGCAGCGTGTCCAATCATCTAGCTACAAACTAACGGACCGTATATGCAGCATTGCGCAGCTAGTGAGGCCCGTCACTAGAATGTCCCAGCATGCTGGTCTGTTCTGAGTGCAGGCGCTCTTCAAGATGCTTCTCATGCCGGCCTAGGCGTCTGCAAGCATGAGAGTACATGGGATGTTCATATGCTCCGCAATCCCGTCGCGCGCAGATTCTGGTGGCTGTTGAGAACTGGATCTGAAAGACTGGGCCGTAGGCCCTCTATGGACTCCTCCTGCAGCGCTACCATGCATGCCTGCAATTTTCAACAGGGCTGCTCAGAAGTCCGCGTCATCAACCCTGGCGGTTACGGAAGTTGGACAAGCGTGCATGTCGGAGTCTGCGGAGTCAAAACAAGCTCCTCAGTCACACGTCTTGCCATTTCGCTGCGAACCGGACCCCGCCTGGATAAGCCGTTTCTTGCGCTCTCGCGCGATGACGTCCAGCCGTGCCTGGGCTCGCGCCTGTGCAGGGCAGCAAAAGACTGGGTGCGGCGTACCGTGACATGGCCTCACACTATCTGCCAGACGGAAGCTCATGCAATCTCCACAGATCATTCTGCAACAAAAATTTGCGCAGTGTGCACGTTACACTGCTTTGCACCCATCTTGGAAGGCACCTTGCGCATCCTCTGGTGATGCTCAATCTTGAGCTTCTCCTTCCTGAGAGAAGGCGATATGCAGCATCGTGCTACGCATGCAGGCAGCAATGCATGCTGACCGGTCATGATGGGCCGGCAATGGCCAGCGGGTAAGATCACCGGCCGGCACCGCAAGATTCTCATACGACGCAGGTTTCCGAGAGGTTAAGAGCCAAATGCTGGGTGGCGGACTCTTCTGCTGCTTTCCACTTGAAGCGTATTTCGTCGAATGCACACCTTGGAGGCTCTACACTCTACACACGTTGTCAGTGCGATCCGAACCATGTAGAATTGCATCAGGGCTCGCTGCTTGGATTTGTCCACGAGTTACGACTCCTATTCTCCCAAACGCCTGAAATCTTCCATCGAAGATCTGAATCTCATTGTGAAGGCCAGGTTTTGTCGGACCGACATCTGACGCTCATACATCAGTGGACCAGAAGCGCAGAACCCAGGGAGCCCTGCAATAGGCAGAACTCAGAGAAGCGTCGATCTCAAGAAACGAAGTCGTCCATGAGAACTGCATGAATCGAAGAGCACGATGGAAATCGTGGTGGTCAACGTGGCTGCATGAGAAGCAGTAGCAGATAGTAGCAGTCCTAGTAGTAATCATCATACGTCATATTCAAAGCCAAAGGGACCTCTTGCTGCAGCAGCAAGTCACGATTCATAAGTGTCGCACTAAGCATCACTAACACGCAGATGCCGTTCAACACGCATAGCAAAGCAATCGACAGTCTTCTGCCGATCCCTGACGGACACCACTCACCACTAGTCTGGACCTAGACTAATTCATATTGGATCCTTGGCACAGTAGGGAAGCAAAATGCATGAACTATGTAACTGTATCTCCGAACCGCTGAAGCACGCCAACTTTCCATGCCTAGCTCAAACTGTAAATCTTGCGAAACCTGATGCCGAACGTCGGACGAGCCGCTGCAGCCAAGAGCAGAGGCCACCGCGCTCCACGATCTGAATATGAGAACACATGAACCCAAGGAAGTTGTCGAGAAAGACAGACTTACCTTTTGCACGGCAGCTCAACTCTTCGGCGGAACCCTGTTGATCCAAGACCCACAACTCGAGCAACTGGGGTCAATATGGGTCAACGATGAAGCCTTCCCGTCTTATTTGTATGTGCCTCTTTTCTCATTTTGGCTAGCTTTTTGCCATAGTCCTGAGACAGACGAAGAGTCATCATCGTAATTTACATGTAATGCTCATAATGATGAAGGCAAGCACTGTCCTCTGCCAAAGAGTCCCACTTCCTGTCCCTTAGTGCGACCGCCTCCTCCAATTCCTTGACCTGGTTCATGCATGCAAAGGCACATCAGTAGCCTTGCTGGAAAGTTGTACCGTTGTGTCTGGCATGGTCCCGTCGTATCACTGACGGCGCTATTGGGACCTACTACCGGTGTGAAACTATGACTAGCCATGATGTTCAAGTCGCTGCACCTTCCCCGCAGATTCTCGTAAGACCATGAATCACGCATCCACGTTGCAATGGTCTGGTGGTCAGCGCACATGCTGTTGCAAGCAAACATTGAAGCTCCCGACCCTCGCTTGCTCCTCCTCTACCTGCTGCTGTTTCTTTTTTATCTCTTTGTCCTGACGGTTTGCTGGCGAGAAGGGTGATGCCGCGTTTCTGCCGTCTCAAATCGGAATTCTCGAAGGGATCACAAGTCCTTGCGTCCGTCAGAGTAGCAAGCAAGCATCCGGCCTGTTGCCGAACCTTTCCATACAGTGCCTCCAGCTCCTCGACAAGACCCTTGCCTGAGCAGGTGGAAGGGGCATGTGAGTCGAGTCGGGGATAGGAGGGAGGGCAACAACGCTCGATAGCCTGAGCCTGATGAGTCCATGCATGACAAGGATCATTAGGGCTTGGCCTGTGCCAAAAACAACTTGCCGTTGCATGGACAGAACTTGCTGCAGCTTGCACGGTCTGCAGACAAGTGTTCTCATGCCAGGTGTCTTCTTGTATGACATGTGCTATATAAATATAAATATGCACTCACGTCAGTAGCAGAATGAGGTTGGACGCTTACTTTAGGATGCCATCATTTCACGAATATTTCTGTGCGATCTTCGTGATTATCATCAACATGAAATACTGTTGCTGGATAACAGACAGTACTGATACTGCTGATTACAACAAACCACAATGCCCCAACTAAAAGCAAAACTATTCATGTAAAAACAGTACCACAAGTAACAGCGATGACAGCAGCAGAAGCAAAGCAGCAAAAGTAGAAGCAGCAGAAGCAGCAGCAGCAGCAACAAACATAACAAAGACGACGACGACGACGACGACGACGATGACCCGCAACCGCAGCCACACATTTATGTCCATGTGATGTTTTGCATCCATCCATCCGTCCATCCATCCATCCATCCATCCATCCATCCATCCATCCATCCATCCGCCCGTCCGCGCGTGCAATCTGTATGCAGAACCATGCATACACGCGTAAATACGTTCATGGTCATAATGATAAGTATGAAAACACTCACGGACACAGGCATCTCTCGACATACTCTTGTACTGCTCTTGTAACAGTAGCTCTGTCACAGTCAGGTTTCTCGTCCACCAACCCTGGCCTTCGGTGCCGGACTGTGCGCGCCAGGCTTTCAGCCGGGCGAAGTCATCTGCCATCTTCTGCCTATTTCGCGAGGGCAGGAAGCAGATACACTCGTCACGCGACATGCCAGGCGGTCTCTAATTCCATTCTTCTGCGCTGCACTTCGTCAGTGTAGCCCTGGCGGAGCAGAAGTTTTCACTGCGTCCACAAGCACAGTCCAGAAAAGTTGCGCGGCCTGGTACATCTCTAGAGAGTTCTTCAGCTTGTGCGCTGAGCTTTTCTCCCCTCTGTTAGGAGGCAGCTGGGACCTGTCGCAGGGTCGCTTGAAGTGCAGAATTGCCGGTATCCTGAGAACAGCGAGGAAGCTCAAGGGCTGCACTTGGAGATGATCTGCCCGATCTGAGCCAGATGAATGCCCAATGAGCTGACAGCCTCGCAGGTTTCAAGATCTGCTGCATGTTGGTGTCTATGATCTCTGGGAAGACTCATACATCAATATTCAACGAGCTACACCGGGATGTATTGAGCATAGAGAGATGTCATGAGAACTAGACATACTAGACGCATCAAATGTGGCGACAGAGGCAGATGGAACATTACGTGCAGTGACCCCACAAGCATAAAATGCAGATCCCTTGTGTGCGCCTCTGCGCTGAGGTCGACAAGCTCCCGGCTGCCCTCGCTGACATCGTCATTTTTCATGGCCTTGCTGACACACTTGCAAAGACTCCTCAATCAAAAGCACGAACTGCTTGCGTAAGATCTTGTGTTGAAGACGATAAATACATGATCTAAGGGGTCAGCAGAGCTGCAAGGGCCAGACTCGGCCTGCAAGCCTAAGAACCCCTGGCCCTCTCCCGGCCTTCCCGAGGGACCTCTACACTTCTTGGGCCACACACATGAGAGCAAGCATGCGCGTGTGGCAAGCCTGCGCAGCTCTGCAATTTGCCACACTTCAGTAGAAGCAGCAGCAGCAGCATAGCAAGCCGCAGTCTTGCTTGGCCTCTGCTGTTATGGGCAAGCGACGCAACGACAATGCCCTTCCAAGTCGAGGCAAGCTCAACCCACAAGCCGGCTACATTTGTGGCCCGCGAACCACGTCTTCTCATGGGTCCTTGCCCAGATGGAGTTCATCCCGTTTTGGAACGCCAGACAGGCCTGGAGAACGAGAGCAGGAGCACGAGTAACTGCAAGAGATTGTCTGAGGTTTTCTTATCTTCTGTCTCCGTTATGCCGCTATACATCAAGACCCACGGTCTGAGGCACAGGAAAAAGTTAAAAGTACTGACCCAGCCTTGCAAGGCCTCCTCTGCAGCACGTATGCCAGACAGATATGCGGCATGAAAGCCTCCCTGAGTGCAGCGACACACGATAGCATCCGGCTACGAGTGCACCTCTCGCAACTTTCGCTGGTGTCACAATGCTTCTCCACACCGAACCCGGGCCTGATGCTCTTCGTGGGTATGTTCGCCTGCAAGCCGAATCCTTCTGCCTTCCATGCCAGAAACCAATGACCGCACATCATCCCACTCCTCGGAAGCTTTCATGACTCAAAGGTAAGTGCAAGGTTGCACTGACTGCAGCAAAGCTGCCGCATCTTTCGTGCTCATCCTCAGTTGGTACTTCGACACAGGTTTGCAGTGGTTAGCACGCGCCTGCACGTGCTGACTGCTGAAGCATGAGCCACAGAAGCAGCAAAGAAGGCCCTGCTAGCGGAGGGGGTCGAATGACAGCCAAAAAAAGGACCCCCCCCCCCGCCATGCAACCAGAAACCCAAGTGCCTTAAAAGGAGACCTAGGAACCTAGGAATTCCCTGCCATGCTATCTACCGCTGTCCTGTCTACACCGGCCAAGCTTCGAGTAGGACCCCAGCGCCCACTCCACCTGGCCCCATCGTGTCATGTGCACAGCCAAGACTTCGCCAGGAAGTAGTCCAAGCAGCTTCTCAGCGACCTGCTGACAGCGAGCAGACGGTGCGATGCTACAACCATACCCAACTGAATGCTGGTCCTTTGGCATTGTAGTTACATGAAACACTGTCGCGAGGCTCGCTGTTCGTGTCCGTTTCATTGTTATTGCGTATCGGTAATGCAACTTCAAGTCGAAGCCGCGTTTGAAAGTTGAAGTTCGATCTTCGTTGTTGTTAGCTGCTAGTCACTGCGGCCGATACTGCTGTCATTACCGTTGAGTTGATTGCCACCTCCACTGTAACATGAGCACCACTAGTATCGCTGTATTGCGTACTCTGCGGCTGCAGCTATAGTGAATAAGGCTACCTGCTACGAGCACCACCAGACATCCTAGCACTGCTGCATTACTTCTACATGCTCTTGCTGTCATATTACTATTGCACATTTTCTACCACTGCTTCCATTACCATTTAAAGATTGTGTTTTAGCTGCTGCGACTGCGCTGCGACTGCTACTGTTGCTGCCGCTGCCGCCGCCGCTCCTGCTCCGGCTACTGCTACTGCTAGTGCTGCTGCTGCCGCCGCTGCTTCTGCTCCTGCTCCTGCTCCTGCTCCTGCTCCTGCCCCTGCCCCTGCCCCTGCCGCTGCCGCTGCCGCTGCCGCTGCCGCTGCCGCTGCCGCTGCCGCTGCCGCTGCCGCTGCCGCTGCCGCTGCTGCTGCTGCTGCTACTGCTACTGCTCGTGCAGCCACCGCTTCAGTACGAATAAAAGTAGTATCACTTCCAGGCTGAGAATCTAGCTACATGTAAGAGTGTTTTGAGTAGTGAGAGCTGATCAATGGTAGTCGATATGGTTGTAAGACTGATAAAGCTCTTACAAACGATACTCGAACGGGATCGAGAATTTCTGCCTGGACGAAACCTGAACGAACGAGATAGGTGCCCCGCTAAGAAAGCTCATGTAGCCAACGAGATGACTAAACGCCGTGCCTCGTATGGGCTGAGGGGTCGGGATAAGGGCTGCATGTTTGAGGAAAATTTGGATGGCCAGTTTAGCTGGAATTTTCTGAAGGGCCGGGACAGAGCGCCGAAAGAACGCAACGTGGACCTACATGAGTCTGTAGGGGCTGCAAGCTGCCGCAAGCTGCCGCGAGCCTTGCGAGACAGCCTTTGCTTGATGCTTGTAATTACCCCTAGACTCCAAGTTTAAACCCCGAACGCCTGAACTCCTCGTCTAGTAAGAGTGTTGGGTGTGCAGCGCCATGACAGCTTGCCTTTTGCGGGATCGCTTGAATCAGGCGCTGTCCTGTTAACAATTAGCATCCGCTCCTCCATGCATGGTGCGGCTGTCCCACTCTTCACGATGTACGCATATAGGATCGTATAGGGCTTCAAAACGCTGTCTCAGGATGAGTGGCGGGCGATAAGCGGCATCTTGGTTGCGAAGAACAGGGGGCCGAATCAACATGAAATATGTTCTTAGCATCTCTTGCCTTTGGAAGAAGCTTCAGTTCCCATTGCATAGCCTGCGTGCTTTCCGATTTGTTCCTTAGCAATACTACCCCAAACCACTACAGCGCCACGAAGCCTCGATCAGATCTCGAACGCGAAGCCCGAAGCCACAAACCCTGCAATCCTGCAGCAGCAAGCGGCAGGGTCCCCGAGCAGAACTGATGAGCAGAATTTACAGAGGAGAACCCGTGTCCCCGGCATACTGAGGCGACTCCGTGTCCCTGGGCAGCGAGGCCACCTTGTCATTTTGTTGTCGATTTTTTGTCAATCTTATGTCTTTCTGCTGTGTATTGCTGTGTTTGACTCTCTCGTGTTTATTCGTATCATCAGGCATGAGTCAGTAGTGCGTCTCTTCACGATCCTATACGGCCTTGCAGCATGATTCTGCTTTTTCTGTCGCGTACTCGGCTTGCTCTGGCAACGACCAAGCGGATCAGAAGTCTTAGGCAAGAGTGCGAGGGTACTCCAAGAGAGGATTAGCCAGGGGTGTGGGCTCGACTCTGGAATGAAGGGTTGCACAGGTTTGGCATCAAAAGGCTGGGGATTTCATTTTTTCGGTTCAGGATTCCGAATTGCTTTGGTGTTTTGGCTTTGCGGTTGCAATGTTTGGGAGTTTGGGAGACGGAGTTCAGAAGCTTCAGTCTGAGCCTTGTCGGAGACAGGATGGCCGCTTGCAGCGGCTAGCATAGCTTTCGTGGATAGATTTCTATCCCCGGTCCACGTAGCTTTCGGGGATTTCTTCAGCGAGACCTGGCGCTAAGTCCCGAAGTCTTCACGGAAACCCCTCCAGCTAGCAGTCTAGCAAACCTATTTTTGAATCGGTGGAACAACAGCGGGATAGTAGCTGAACGGAGGCCGTTATGGGGGTCACAGCTACAGCTTAGTTCAATTTATATGGCAGGTCCTTGTTGAGACGACCAGACTCATCGGCGAGATGAGGCCATCATTCAGATTCGACTTTTCATTTTAGTCTCTGACTCCCTGTTGTTTGAACGTGTTCATCTTCTGCTAAGTGTATGTCAGACTCCACGCAACGGTTGCAGTTCCCGCAGCTGCTGCACCTGCTGTTGAAGATCCGTTCGTTGATGATAGCGACAGTGATGATGATCGTGGCTGCCATAGTTGAAACGCTGATCTTGAGGTTTGCAGTGACCGAACACCTTGCCTTGCGCAGGGATGGATTGCTCGAGCTGTGCCAAGTGGCAAAAAGGGTTCGTCAGCTGGGCGTTTCGCCTGCACGTTTTATCCGCGGCCTGCCAGGCCGAACATGGCGTATGAGCAGTTATAACGCTACAGAGTTGCCGTCGTGGAACCGGGACCCGGGAGCTTTTCACACGTTCGAAACTGCATGCAGGTGGTACGAGAAAACTCTGAAGGAAGGGGAGCGAAGAGGAGTGGCGGCGCGCGCGCGTGGAGTCGTTTGACGGGACCACCAGCCAGGAGTGACGTGAGGCACTTGGCGCCTGATGTTCCTCACTCATTTACCCCAAACAGTGCTTGCACAATGGGGCTCTTACGTTGAGGGTAAAGGAATTAGATGCGGGCCGCCACAGCGCACGCGGTGGTGGGGCGGGGCCTTCGTTTCGACGCTCTCGTTGTGGTTTCGCGCGAATTCCGTTGCGCAGCCTGCAACCCTCTCGTTGCTTTCGTCGCCTCGCCGCCATGCTCTCGCTCTCGCTGTGGTGTGGTAAGAGGAGCATGCGGTGGGGCGGCCTCTGCGCACCGTGCAACCCTCGGTGTTTTCGTCGCCTCGCGATGCTGTCGCTGTGGTGTGCGAGGCCTCTTCGGGTCTCTTCCGGGGGGCCACTTAGGTTGCGGGCCGCAACGGCGCACGCGGTGGGGCGGCCTTGTAGCTTCTTCTGGGGAGGCCACTTAGGTTGCAGGGCGCAGCGGCGGATGGCATGGGGTGGCGCAGCGCGCGGTGGGGCGGCCTCTTCTGCGGCCCACTTGAGCCGCAACGCGCACGCGGTGGGGGCGGCCTCTTCTGGCCTCTTCTAGCTTCTTCCGGGAAGTCTACTTCGGGGGCGGGCCGCGGTGGGGCGGCTTCTTCGCGGCCTCTTCCGGCTTCCGGAGAGCCCACTTAGGCTGCAGGGGCCGCAACGGCGCACGCGGTGGGCCTCCTTCAATTGCGGGCGGCAGCGGCGCACGCGGTGGGGCGGACTCTTGCCTCTTCTGGCCTCTTCTGGCGGCCGCTAAGGTTGCGGCCTCTTCTGGCCTCTTCTGCTATGTCTGTGCGTGTGGCCTAACTCATAAGATCTAGATGTTAGTAACCCCCTTAGAATCCCGTTGTAACCCCCTTATAACTTATAACTGTGCAGTCCATGTACGAAGTCCCTGCTAACTTAAAGGACGTTAGTAGATAGTTAGTGGGAAGATATAGAAGTTCCTAAGCCCAACTTAACTTCATAGCTAGCTTTGTCTAACTTGTTTTGCTTATTTTAACTTATGTCGGGTTTGTGTTGGAATATCTCTGCATTTGTCAGCGATGCCTTTTTTGCGTTGCATTCTTGAGACATGGCGATATGATAGGAGTTGATAGGATTGGATGTATTGATTTTCTCTCTCTCTCTCTCTATATGTGTGTGTGTGTCGATATAATATACTTATATATGTACATGCAAATATATATATATACACATACACACACATATAATATACATATATATATATGGGTAATGTTATCTCCCCCCTGCATTTCCTGGCTTCGCACAACAAGTCACACATTCACCAGTTCACCATTTCACCATTCCTTTCCCCCATATGGTCAGGCCAGTTCACCATTTCACCATTTCACCATTCCTTTCCCCCATATGGTCAGAGCTAATTG